CTCCATGTAAACTTAGTTGAACGTAATAAATTGCTGAGGGGAGCGACGAGAGAGGCGTAGTGACGAACAAAACATCGATAAAACTCGGTGAGTCCTAAAAAAACCCTAAGTGTCGTGAGAGAACGAGGCTTCAGCCAATCTAATATTTCTTGAATCTTGGATGGATCGGGAGTGACACATTCACTTGAAATTATATGAACTAAATAAGCAACATTAGGCACCACAAAAACACATTTTTAAAATTTAGCATAAAACTGATTGGACAAAAGTAACTCAAGAATTAATTTTAAGTGGTGGACATGATCACCAATACAGGAGCTATAAATTAGTATATCATAAAAAAAACTAATCCAAATTGTCGTAGGTAAGGGGAAGTAAATCATTCATCACCGATTGAAAAGAACCAGGAGCATTAGTCAGGCCAAAAGGCTTCCCAAAAACTCGTAGTGCCCATCAAACATTCTGAACGATGTCTTGTGAGTATTCGTCGAATTTACTCTAATTTGGTGATATTCAGATCGAAGATTGATCTTAGAAAAAATAGTTGCAGAACCCAGTTCATCAAATAGCTAATCTATAGTTGGGATTGGGAAACGGTCATGGACAGTTACAACGTTAAGTGTATGATAGTCGACGCAAAAACGCCAAGTTCCATCCTTTTTTCGTACTAGAAGTATTGGGGATGAGTAAGGGCTAGTGCTAGGTTTGATAATACCCTCTTGGAGCATATCGGCAATGATGGAAGTCATAGCTTCTTTTTGAGAATGCGAATAAAAGTAGGGTTTGACATTAACAGGTGCACTTTTGGGTAGAATAGGAATATGGTGATCATGTTGTCTTGGTGTTGGAAAGCCACTGGGTTGTTTAAAAATGTCAACATAGTTTGTATGGATCGTGGAAATTTGGGGGGGGGGGGGGGCAGGTTAGAGGGAATGGATGCTAAAACATTTTGTGTGGTGGAGTTAATAATGGGTGTAGGTTTAGGGGTAGGTTGGTATAGGAGAATATGCATAGAGGCAATAGAGTCATTATGGAGAAGGTGACATAATTGGTGATAAGAGGATGGGGATGGGAAGGGTTTGAGGTCACCAGTAATAGTGATTTCCATGGCATTGTGAGTAAATAAAATTTTTGGAATTGAAAAATCTGCCATAAGAGGACCAAGTGTTCTCAACCATTCCATACTAAGGACAACATCATCTCCTTCGATAGGAAGTAGATGGAAAGAGATGAAAAACAAATTATTATGAAGTGTGATTGGGACTTGTGGACATAGACCTGAACAAACTAGTGTAGAGCCATTTCCCACCATAATAGAAAAAATTAGGGATAGGTTTGGTTGGGATTTTTAAGTGTTAGGCTATTATGGGTTGTAATATGTTATGGGTACTGTCGGTATCAATTAAGATGGTAACTGTAAGGCCATTAATTAAACCCTTGAGTTTAAGAGCCTTAGGAGAAAATTATCCACTAACGGCTTGAGGGGATAATTGAAGTAAGTATTTGTAGGTTCAGTTGGTGAAATGTGGTCCTCATTGCTTTCCGAAAGGGATGTGTTGTCTGCTTTTCCTCATCTATTAATAACAAAAGAAATTTTCCTGAAGAACATTTATGGCCAGGAATAAATTTTTTGTCACAGTTAAAACACAGTCCTTGTGCATGACGTTCTTGCATTTGGGTGCTTGACAAACATCGAATGAGAAATTTGGGTGGTTGGGTTATAGGTGTTTGTTTGGTGGTGGATGCAGGGTGTGATGTGGTGGCTGATTGGGGATTGGGGCGGGTAAAAGTAGAGGAATAAGGTTTGTAGGCTTAAGGTTATGCATCTTGAATTTTGGATTCAATTAGCTTGGCTAGCCCAATAGCCTGGGATATAGAAACAGGTTTAAGAATAACAATTTCAGTTTGAATCTCAGGTGATAATCTAGAAATGAAGCAATTGAGAATAGCCTCATGTGACAATCCCGTAACTTGGTTTTCAAGCTTTTCAAATTTGCTTGATATTCAACTACAATACCAGTTTGTTTCAACTCAAATAATTCTTCTTGGTGATTAGTATAAGTGGAAGGACCGAATCGTAATTCCAAAGCCCTAGTAAAAGATGCCCAGTCCCCTAACTGCATATTTTGATGCATCCATTTGAACCATAATAAAGCTTCTCCTTTCATGTAAAAGGACATCATAAATAATCTATTTTCAGGTGGAAAATGATAAAAATAAAAAAATTGTTCAGCTTGAAACAATCATTCCAAAGGGTTGGAACCATCAAACATTGCTAATTCCAGCTTAGGTGTACGAAAAGGTGGCAAAGGGATAACATTTGGAATTCGTTGGGAATAGAAAAAAGCCATATTGTGAGTAGGTGAAAATTCAGTTGTGTTAAAAGGCATAGGGTAACATTGGGAATTCATAAAGAGGGATACAGTCTGGTTGTATGGGGGGAAAAGAGGTGGTGATGTTTGCTGAGCAGCGGTGGCTCGGTGTGTGGTAGAAATGATAGAGTGTAAGGGTGGTTGGGACAAAATGGGTGAAGGTCTATGAGGGGTTATAACGTGAGAAACAGAGGTAGAAAATACGGGTGTAGAAGAAAGTTATTTGGTTATACCTGATGTTGAGGCAGCGGAGCGGACAGAAGCAGTTTGCGGCTGTTTTTGTTGAGCCACCAACTTCGTTAAGATTGACATCATCGAATCATAGTGAGTATCTGCGACTTGCTTGTTTTTGTCCAAACGAGAATGGAGCTGACCAACTTGTTGCTCCAGATCTGTTGCAACTATGGTGAAACATTCGTCCAGCTGATGTTGGGTATCTTGCAAAGCATTATCAAGGTGAAGACCAATTGTTTGTACAACTTCATTGATAATATTTTTGGGTGAGGGTTGAATGAGTTTGGGAGGGGCCATGAGAACAATAGATGAAAGCATCAATAATGTAAATAAGTTTAGCAGCTACTATCAATACTAAAGTGAACCATTGAATATAAACACAAGATAATAATAAAAAATAAGATCTGAATGATTTTCTAGGATTTTCAAAGACAACAATGTCTTAAATACAAGAGGGGATCCTAATGGATCAGTAAGATGAGCCTACTCTGAAAAGACAGAATTTAGAATAACATAACAATTGCTACAACAAGTCTATTTTATTTAGACACATAATCTTTCATCCGAATGAGCTTCTTTTTAATTCTTATGGGCCTGCTATCACATTTTTAATCTCACTTTCTTCAAAATCTATGCTTAAATGGCTAACATCACGTATGTTTAATTGCTTGAATTTCATATTGGTCAAACTTTACTTCCCCTCATATGTTGATTTAAAACTAGTTTTGAACTGCTTAAACGCAAAACCCTTAACATTTTAAACCTCTTTCATGCCAATTATTTCAATGTTAATAATAGAATTACTTTTTCTCCTTCTTTAGAGCACACCATAAAAGCATTTGGTATTAGCATCACTTTTCTTTAACCAAATGATTCTAGATCTTTACCATTAATTACTACATTTTATTCTTGATAAAGAAAACAGTTGTGCTGATAATGATAGTTTGTCCTGCCGTAATCTTTAACTAAAAACTTCTTCATCAAGAGTTCTTAAATTTGAGTCCTTTCTTTAATATATAGTAATACTACTATGAAATGATTTGGCAAAAATTCAAAACAATGGTCTCAGATATTTGAATGTATCCATTTATAGGGTGGATTGTATATTAAACAAACACTTATAGCACAAGTCTTAAATACATAATATATTTCAGATATATAATATATATAAGTGGGATATTCTAAATAAACGAGAGACAATGAACAAAATATACATATGCTATGAAGCAAAAGCAGTTGTCGAGGAATCCATAGTCCCCACTGTGATGCCAAGAACTGACCTAGCATTATTTTTGTGTGCTATGCTACTTCTCCTAACGCATATGCCACCCTCCTTTCGTCTTTATTTTCCAGAGCTTTAGTATATGCCCTAAATAATTCAATTTGAAGAAAGAGCAATGCTATTTCTATACACTTTTGTGAACACCCTTCATGGATACTATATAAAATATATGTAGATTGATGTGTGCAAGTCGAAGAAAAGAGAATAATTTAAATTATGTTATGGTGTCGTATATTACTAAAGACTTCTAAGATGAGCTAGTGCACAAAATTTAAAAATTGATAAGGTTAAACCGTTGTTAAAAAGGATTTCATTAAATATTTGTCATTGTTAAATTGTAACAAAAATAAATTAAGTTTTTTTTGATAAATATTTGTGTAACTCGTTCAGGGCGGCATGCAACTCAGTTAGAGCATCAATAACACCACAATTGTTGATATCTTCTGGTGTAGAGGATAGAACTCTCTTGTTAACTTTGGCTGAAAACGGCGAGGTATATGAGTGAATGGTAACAGCGAGTGGAGTGATGGTGATGAAGAAGATGTGACTCAAGTTAATTTTATCGGGCCTCACGGTAGGCACCGCTGTACTGGTCAAAAAATATAGGTGTGATTATTCCTCCTACAACGGCAGGGGGACTCAGAGGCCTTAATAGATATATTATGTTGTATGGTGATTAGGAGTTGTCCACGACAGCGAGAAGCCATGGATGGTGGTGTTTTACGATGGTTTAGAGACCTGATCACATGAGGTGAGAGGTTTCGTTATTGAGTGATATGCTTAGGTGTAAGCATATAGGGAGTGTGATTTGTATGGCTTAAGATCTCCTTTTTTAACATGGGGGAGAGGTATTTATATAGGACTTTTGGGCATAGGGTTTGGGTAACTCTAATGGACGGCAACCGCTTCTTCATGATCAAGAGAAGTTGTTGATCACCTAACTTTTAAGGAATATAGGTGGATTCCATCTTCTTTGACTAACAAAATTACACACGTCATCAGTGTCAAGGGCGAGCCTTGAGGGCATAGATGGTACCTCTCTTGGGCGAGGGTACCCTAATTTAGAATACTCAAAAATATAACATTACAACCAACATCTTGAATGTCCTCCTCTAGTCATTAAGATAGTTAATGACATTCATATCATCTTCTTGACTAACTTCAATATTTACCTCTTCACTGTCAACAATATCTTTATCTTTACTAACATCAACTGTTACATCTTTACTATCATATTTGCTAATATTTTCACAAACAACTTTAGGATCAACATCAGTGGAAGTATCATGCATGGGTTCACTAGGACCACTTTCATCATTCAGGATACTTTCCATAACAATATCATTAGGTGGATTATCAAAATCATTAAAATTATCATTATTTTGATTCAAGTTATCCACCTCATCAATCACATCATTTTTTAGCTCTCTTTACTCATCTACATCTTGATTCACATTGCCAGCAGACATAACACCACTAGGGATGACATGATCAGAGGAATTACCTTGGTAAATATTCGGAAGCACCATACTGAGAGAAGAAATGTTGAGGGGAACTTCATTGTGGGATCTCTTAGTTTTGACCTCAGTTGAAGGAGAATTGAGAGTTTTTTCAAGTTCATTGGTTGTTTTTATGACCTTAGTTGTGCGGAGCGTGATTAGCAAATTTCTTTAACTTCTTGCCCTTGAAATCCTTTGTCTTGATGAGAGAATAAATACCTGACCTAACCATCAACCTTCTCTCTAATTGTAATACCTTTCATGCAAACACCATGGGCATTCGTGATAACTTTATCCTTTTTGGGAACTTTCTTCTTAATGATCTTTTTGTCCTTACGAGAAGTATTGGTACCTTGCCTAGTTCTAACCATAATGTCAGAGATATTCATAGTGTCAGAGGGAGATTAACGGTTAGAGAAAGAGTTGAGGTGCCGAAAAGAAAAATCAGAAAAATTTGTTTTTCTAATATTAAAGAAATGAGACTTCTTTATGTTGGGATGAATGACATAAGAAACATTTGTAAGAATAAGATTTGGTTCTGCAATATTATCTCTGAGTTTTAATGATAATAAATGAGTATGTTTGCATGAACAATTTTGATACTCTAATGTTTGTTATTGTTGAGTACTTAACAAACAGGTTCTGCTTCTGATGGATGGCGTGGCCAAGACATTAGAAGATAATTAGTTCTGCTTTTGTGCTACAAAGTTCCGTTGAACATTAGCAAGACACTCTAGAAGGCTTTGGAGTGTAGGCTCTGATGTTTGTCTAAAGAAATCAGTCAGAAGATCTGAAGACAGAAGTTGCTACTTAAATCCAGATGTTGAAGACTCATGTTTCTAAAGAGAACGAGTTCTAAAGAATCAGTCAGAAGATCTGAAGACATGAGTTTTAACTTAAGTCCAGATGCTAAAGAATAAAGTTTCTAAAGATATTGTGTTCCAAAGAAACAAAGTTAGAAGATATGAAGACAACGTTTCTACTGAAGTCCATATGCTAAAAACTTAGTTTCTAAAAAGATAACATGTTTTAAGAAGACAAAGTTAAAGATTCTAAAGACGGAAGTTCTGAAGATTCCAAAGACTTGAAGTTCTAAAGATCCAAGGTTCTCTACAAAGGGTTCTCAAGACCATGTTTTTAATACTCTAAAGACACACCTATTGAGACTATGAAGACTTTAAGCTCGTCTGATCCAAGGTTCTCTACAACAGGTTCTCACGACCAAGTGCTGAAGACTCTAAAGACGCAGCTCGGAAGACTCTGAAGACTTGAAGTTCTGAAGACCTTATGTTATGTTATCGCTTCTAAACTCATGCTCACAGAAGCCTCTGAAGTGCGGAAGAAAAGAATATAATGTTAACATGGTACAATAATACACAGTACGATAAAGCCTTATTCCACTACCTCTCCACTAGCTTTAATTGTGGAAGAGAAAAAGATGTAGCAGTACAATTTGTAACAACTCAGTTTCAAATATCCAACGACTCTATTTTTCTTGTCTATATAAGAAAATAATCGTATGTTTAAAATGTTGTTGGTGTTTAATGTTAAAATGAAAGCTGTCGTTATTGAAACACAACTAAAAAGCTATCAACCACTATAACAACAACAAGAACAATTGTTATCAAAATGATTCTTCAATCAAGTTGATAATGATTACAATGAAATAATTGATTCACAATGTGTTTAATTTGATATGCCACACAAAGCTTGCTAAGCCGCAGAAGATAATGAAGATGATCATGAAAACTCCAGTTATAATCCACAACACAATGTTGTGCTCTAAAATGATCATAGAAGAAAATAGAACAAGAGATGTTATCTAGAATGTTCTAAGGTGAGTAAAGATGAAGAAGTTCATCTCTTTACTACATCAAGATCAACAAAGCTTCCATAAGCTTATTAAGAAGAAGACTTCAGCAATTCAAGTGCTTTGGGTTGTTGTCCAAGAAGAAGCTACTTGAAGAAAATAATACCACACATCAAGCTATAATACAATGTAATATGTTTTAGTGAGTATTAGGATACTCTGATGTATGCTTAAATTCTGTTTACATCCAGCTTGTGTAGAAGTATATTATTGTAAACAAATATAAATCAAACAGTTGTTTGATGATACCTTGAGAGGCTGAGTGAAGGTTTGTGCTCAAGAAGATAGTGACTGAAGGTCATTATGAAATCTTGGTAGTGGATTTTATAGGGTCAATGATAGTCATATCTCAAAGGGGACTGAGTGAAGGTCAGCCTTGTGATATCACTGATGGATATCATTGTAAGGAAATCCTGGTAGGAGATTCAGAGGGATCAGATTCTATTGGGTCAATGAATGTTATATCCAGTTTGGTTCCTTGAACGCTTCATTGGATGTTAGTCATCATGGGTTTCCTGTGCGACTGTAATCAGATTGGTTATAGTGGATTAAGTCCTTGAGTTTAAGGAGAAATCACCTTGGCAGGGTGGACTGGACTAGCTTGGGAGTTTCTCAAGTGAACCAGGATATATCACGTGTTCTTTACTTTTGCTTATACCTAATAGTTTATGTTTTCATAAATTAATTAGAAGCATTGCTTAGAAGAAATATCCAAAAGCGTTGTTTAACAAATAATACTTAGAAGGGAATTTTGATTCAAGCTTCAAGCGAGAAATAATTAACAACAAAATGTGACAAATGAGTTTAGTACAAAATTAAGAGCCTAAAGGTTACAAAGGTATAAAGCCAAGAGATCTAAATCAACAGACCTGACGGTGATCATCAAAAATAAAAATCATAAACCCTAAGATGTTTCCCCAAACTCTACATCAGCAAGGGTATCCCAAACTAGATTCTCATTACTCCGCTCTTGGGCCCTTCTAAAGATATCCTTTGTCGCTTAGATCTTTGATCTCTCAACTAGATCCTTGATGAATACATCCCTTCTATTGATAATGCTTTCCATATGATCAACCTCTTCTTGAAGCTGAAGGCCATAAAAATCTTCTTGTTGATCTTTTCGTGACCTTAACTTGAACTGGCGTCCAAACATTGTAACTGATAGTAATCCTCTTTCTAGTGTCCATTTATGAGTAATGAGATTGATACGAGAATCAAAGATAAAGTTCCCTAGAAATGAAATGACCACGGATGTCACAAGCATGTCATGATGTTTATGAATACATGAATGTATGTATATGCAACAAACACATACAAGGTTCAAAGGTTTAACGTCACGAGCATGGAGTCAAAGGGTGAGAATCAACCCACAAGTTATGTACTAAGGATTTATCACCTGCCAAACAAGGTTCTAAAAGGTTCCTATAGTCTATATATTTCCTTCGGATATTACCAACGTCCCAATTACTCGGTAATTAGTAATATTCGCAGGAAAAACTCGTCTAAGTGCAGGATCGCGTGACAACTACTTCTGAATTACTCTGTCATAGTCTTCGCACTACATATAAAATGATAAGATGGGTTAGGGTTTCTACAGATCTCATCTTCTTTGGCTTCCAGGTCGAGAGCAGTAATGTCTTCCCGATTACTCGATAAACAAATACTACAGTCAAAGGGGCCTCCACTGATAAGGGGATCTCATGCCTCCTTTTTCGAGATTACTTCCTCAAAGTTAACATGACTATACCGCCCGTCCTATCTTAAGTGTACTTAGTCCGGGTATAGGACTTGTCCGTTGTAATCAACATCTAAAGAAACTACAAAATAACACGTATAAGCAAACAAGAAATAATATCAAAAACAAATATAACAAATTAGGTTTAACCCACTTAGAAATTTTAAGTCCTCAGCAGAGTCGCCAATTCTGTAGTGGTGAAAATAGAAGATCAAGCTATTAATTAATTTGACTTGCAAATAAGAAAGAGTCACCCCCGCGCTTTATTATTTCCAACGGAAAAAGGGAAAGTGTGAAATAAAACCCATAAATATGCAAAGTATGAATAATACTAAAAAGTAAAAATACAATGCATCTGAAAGAGATCGAGGATTCTGGGGTTGGTTATAAAAAGGGAAGGTAATAGCATCCTATGTATTTATAGTATCATATAGGACCCTTTGGAATTTATGTTTTTTGGTTAAAAAGTTTGTTTGCAAAAAGGATCGTGGAGATGAGAAATTTTAAAAATGCAACAACCTAATGTCGAGGTTTTGGCTTAAAAGGTGTAAATTTGAAAATAGGGTTTTAAAGATTTTAACAAATGAGAAATAAATATGAGAGATAAAATATAAAGACTCACAATGACATAAGGTTAATGAGAAGATCCTTTCCATTGGATTCAAACACAAAGATAATAATCAAATGAAGACCAGACAAGAACCATGCATCAGATAAAAATGGATAGTAACCATAGTCCAAGGATTTAAAGAACCAATTTTAGGTTTTTTCTTTATTAAGTGACTTATAACAAGCAAAAGAAAATAAGAAGCTTAAGTGAGCAAATAGAAGATAAATGCTCAAGTGAGCAAATAAAAAATGCATAAAGTAAAGAAAATAAATTGTTATGGATGATAAATGGCATAAAAGTAAAGAGAGGAAAATATAAAGTGCGGAAATATAAATGATATTAAAGTAAAGTTATTGTAATATAAAGTTAATAATATGATTTGGGATAAGTGTAACTTCATATGGAGCATAGAATGTATATATTCCGACAATCTTAGATGAACTAAAAAAGTTCAAATGATTTCCAAATTGATCAAAATAAAAAAATAAAAAATAAATAAAGAAGAATAAGATGAAGTCTATAATAAAAGTAGTATAAATGTCACAACTTTCTCAATTTTTCATGAAATTAAACAAATGAATAATGAAAATTGATCTACTCAATCTCACAACCAAGGATCCATGCTCAAAATAAGTAAATAAATAACAAAAATTACAGAAAAAAATTAAAATTAAACAACAATAAATCACTTTTGTTTTTGGGGGTTCAAGAATATTTTTCAACTCTTGATTTTAAATCAATGTAGTTTCCTTGCAAAATCATGATAATTATGGTACTAAAAAACAAATAAATAAAGATTAAAAATGAAATAGAAT